TCCTAAATACCAATTACTCCAGAATATTATGGAAAGAAAATTCGAAGGAGGATGTAGTCGAGGCAGAAGACGAAAATCCTGGCTGAAGAACTTCAGAGAATGGTATGGAATGACATCAAATGGACTATTTAGAGCAGCCGCAAAATAAAAATCGCCATGATTATAGCCAATCTTCGTTAGAAGACGATTGTTGAAGAAGTACATAGTATATGTGTAGAAGTAAGTATTTATTATTTTATCAAGAAAAATGTATCTGCTGGCGGAAGGAACGGATATGTTACGAGTGATTTTATTTTGCGAGAAAAATTGCTTGTTGGTCTGAAAGGTTTATGCTCAAAGATATCCAAATAGAAATCTTCTTGATAAGCGTTCCTTTAAAAAACTACTTTTCCTGTTTCGTAAAGCTGATAGTGTGATAAACCTATTAGGACAGAAACCTCTCCTTGGAAATGAAGAAAATGAATTTGCCGTAATTTGCTCTTTTATAGAAAATCCAATATATCTACAAGTCATCGTAATATAAATCAATGAACTACGTCTTCGTTTTTCTTTTTAAAATAATAAATACTTATTTATTAATCTATTTTCGATTTTGAAAATAGCTACTAACTGTCACTAGAAAATTGCCATGAAGAACCAGCTCTGTATTCAAAATTTCAGCCTGATAGATATAGGAAACCCTAATATAGTTTGAAAGAGAAACATTTAAATCTTCTACGACTTAAAATAGACCAGCAATTTTTGATACCCCTGTATACATTAACGGAAGCAATCAAAGTATCTGGGTATTTTGGATATCGCAGATTGATTTTCATATCTTCGAACTCGTTGACTTTTTGGGCGTGAGAAAACTTCTAACGGATTCTCCGCCGCTAATGAGATTTATAATAATATATTAATTATATAGAAAATAGTAATTATATGACGAGCAATGAGGTGTTCTTGACATTTCCGCAGACATTTAGCATTCCGCAGGTCTCGGCGAGGAAACAACTAATGTGGTTAATAAATTTAATGGCAAAAAATAAGACATGTAATAAATCATGTCTATTTTTGATATGGCATTAACAAGGTATGTATAATAGCAATAATTTTACAGTCTTTTAGAGATTCTGTAAGTCAGTAGATATTCGAGTATGAGAGTTATAGAGTAAGGAAATAATAATATATATTAATGTTTATTTTACTTTATTTTATAGATTTTAACAAAAACTAAAAAATAGTTCTATCTTCTAGTTAAAAATATATCGTTTACAGCGATTCTTAAAGTTTTACTCTCCCAAAAATACATTTAAGAAATTTCAGAACATCAGAAGTTGGATAACACGGATAAAAAACTACGTTTATGTCATGCGAAAAAAGTTAAAAAAAATAAAAACAATTTTTGACTCACCCTGTAATATATATCAAAATTTAGAAGTATAAGAACAGTGTACCAGCAGTATCAACAGATATAGTGTATCTATATCAAAATATAGAAGAATAAGAACACCTAGCTTTGAAAAGAACAAAGACTATTTTTTTTATTTTCCAGTGTTTCAGCTGCTTATTTACAATCCTTTTCAATAAAGAAGATATTAAGCTACACAACACACTATTATATGAAAATGAGTCTCATAAAACTAAAGAACTCTTACCTGCTATTTGAAAAACTCTCACAAAATAAGTACCGCATTTTGCTGGCGTTAATCAGCAAAATTTTCGTTACAGAGTCGAAAAATCGGATCGAAATATAGGTCGCACTGACCGCACGGTATCGGCACCGGACTGCAATTCGAAAATACCAGATATTTTTCGAAATCTCAGTGGCCAAAAATACAACTAGACAGTCCACAACTAATATCCCTAGTTTAACGAAGACTTTGGCAATGGTGCAGAAATCATATAAGTTATAATTCTGTAGTATTCATAAAATTGCGAGAAATAGAACAGGCATAATAAGCGGCATTTGTTTACGTATGTGGAAAGAATATGTTAATACCCATTCTTTGGCATGTGCCAAAATATTGTCAACAAGTTTGAAATAAAATGAGAAAAAAATGAAAAAATATCGATTAAAAAACCGCAAAGAGTTAGTTAACCTAGACCAGGTTTATTTCGAGTGTTTCAAGCAAGCTCCACTTAAAGCAGGCTTCAATCTCGTTCCTAATCTGTAACCGTTTATTTAAAATTGCCAGTAGGGAAATTTGATTCCAATATATTCGGGTCCAAACCAGCTTGCCTTAAGCCGATCTCAGAAAAAAGTGGGATTGACTTGAAGGTACAAGCGCGGTTTAAAAGTTAATTGTAGGTGTTTATATATCCGTACTAGTTGAAGCCTAGCGCATCCGCCACGACATGCGACATCAGGAAAAAAAATACTTTTTATTTTTTTTTAATTAAATGAAAAACAAAAAATCCGGCGACGACAGTTTTTAGAAGAGCCAATTAGCTATCTTTTAGTAAAAAGCAACTTTCTAGAGCAAGTCGTTACTTCAAGAGAGACGACACAGATAAGCATTAGCATTTTATAGATCGTCCCACTGCTGCCAAAAGTCACTAACTAACATTTTTCCGAACAACCAAATTCAATCACTAACTATGTTTTGAAGCGGAGAATCGATTGCAAAAGTTATTAACTACGATTTTTGGCTATTTATGTTTTATTTTAATACCGAATAGTTACTAACTATAACATCTTTATGCAATGCAATTCATCTTTAGACGCATTTTTCTCGGAAGTAATAAAAAGTAAATTAGTGACTTAGGGACGACATGTAGATTAGAAGCCAGCTTAGCTGTTCAAGTGTATGCCATAAGTTAGGATTGATTGACGTATTCAAATGTTTTTGGCCACTTCCTGTTTCACCGGAAATAACTACAACTGTTGATTTTTAAATGACACCCTTGGTATTTTTTACTCTATTCGATAGAAAATGACACTCTGAATAGAATGACATATCATATGTCAATTTTCGACATTTTCGCATGTGGTTTATTTGAAACTGTTACATGCGGTTCATAACGACAACTTGAGTCGAAATACCAAGTGTGTGGTACCACATTATTCGTAAAAAAATGCTTTTTCCAAATATACTAATGAACCACCTTTGTTCCATCATGAAAAAATTGAGATATAATTAAAAAAAAAAATAATTTGCGCATATTTTAACCGGCCAGAACAAGACACGAAAAAGATTAGACGATCAAATCTATTTTTCCAAGACTCCTTGATTAAAAATTAGTGTTTTTAACATAGCGATGGCACTCTAGATTGAAATTTAAAATACGGTTTATTTAAAGCGAAAATTTCAAAAGTTGACATATGACATGTCATTCTATTCAGAGTGTCATTTTCTATCGAATACAGTAAAAATATACCGAGGGTGCCATTTAAAAATCAAAAGTTGTAGCCATTTCCGGTGAAACAGGAAGTGACCAAAAATAATTGAATACGTCAATTAATCCTAATTTATGTTATATACTAACAAACTAAATTTTTTTTTATCTAAAGAAATAAAAAAGTTATAGGGGTCAACCACTTTTGAAACGCACCCGGGATATATTTCACGTTGTTAATCTGGGGACGAATGCTGCCAAAGTTGGAATTTTCTAAGTCTCTTTTTAAGATTTACAGTATAATCTCATTACAATTAAAGTCTTAACACAACTTCTTTCCAGATTTAGACACTTCAAATAGGCATCAAACCAATTTTAAAATAAAGGGGAAATAACAAAAAACAAACACAGAAAAGGGCAACAAACCCGCAAAAAGTCAAATCTGTCAACTGAAACGTCAAACAAAACTGGCAAAAGAAAGTATTCTATAAAGTAGCTTCCGTCATTAATGCATAAATATAAAAAGAAATTAAAGTCTTCTTAGTACTTTTATTCAATATTTAACTTTTTTCAAAAATTGAATAACAAATCCTTTTTTTCGTGAACTTCTTGACACGCACTGTAGAAATATATATCTTATTTTAAATATACTACTAAATTACTACTAATAATAAATTACTTTACTAATATATTTACTTTAAAATATGTATCACTAAAATTATTAAAAATTTAGAAAACAAAAATTTGCAAAAAAAGGCATGAATAATTGAAGAATCGATAATTTTAACAAAGTTCTAATTGGTAAACTGTGGTTTTAGTGAATTTTTGCAAAAAAATAAGGAAAGATCCATTTTTAACTCTATAAGATCCCTTTTTTTCTAAAAAAAATATAATGTCCTGTTTTTTGCAAATATTCGTATATATAAATAGACCTTGTATATATTTTCAATGCTCTAGTTATTAAAAAACTTTTTTCTTACATTTACTGCAGAACCAAAACCAACTTCAAAGAAAAATGTATTTGTAAACAATGTGAAAAAATATGTTATTCAATATATTTCACCAGTTTCTAGAGTTTCCTCATACCGGGTTTCTCTTTCTGCCGAAAATAAACACTAAGTATTACAAATGTTTGGATGCATTCCAATTGGGTATCCAGGTGTATCCAAAACCTTGAATAACTGCACATCGCTTGTAAGAAATTTACAAGTATTTAAATACAACTATCACGCGCTAAAAATAAGTTTACTTTGGCATGTTTCAAGCTAATTTTAATTTTATTACCCTTTTTGCAACTTTTAAGCAGTAAAAACAGAGTAATTACCTAGAGAAGTTTATAACATGCACGAAATATGCCATTTAATGTGTTATTTATACAAATTTCCTTCATTATTTATATCTAGCGGCATTTTAATAGCGATATTCTAAAGTATAGTTCTTGGGTATGCAACTACAAATACGCCTTGCCGTCAGCTATGTTGCATAACCAAGCGACAAGCTTTCAAGTTTAAATCAGCGGCAAACGGCTCGTTTTTTAAATTTTTAAAATATACAAACGAATCTTCTTTAAAAATTGAACAATAGTACTAAATATAATACAATTTATCGTGTTTTTACGAATAAAAAAGGGTCAAGAATATATAAAAAGATATAAAATATGTAAAAAAACTGATGGTACTTACTTTAATTCAAATCCTTCAAATTCTTCTTGTTGTTCCGAGATGGAAGCTTCAAGGTCAAGATAAGAGCCGTAGTCGCCATCTTTGTACAGCTGGAGTGCTGCATCATCCAACTAGAACAAGAAAAATGGTCAAAAATATTTTCTATCTAACAGTAGCGTCTAAAAACCGTTTTAAAATTTAAAGAGGGCGAGATATAATCGAATTAAAATATACAAAATTGTAATGCATAAGAAATATTAAAAATTGAACTATGAAAATAGATTTCATGTCTTAGTAATATACAGGGTGATTCACGATCGATGATGAGTTACTAGTAGATATAATATCATGTTTTTAATTTGTATTCTTATATAAACGTACATGCATGCTCCTTCGACTTATATTATTTTCAGCATTTCTTTCATTTGAAAAGTACCATACCTACGATCGAAAAAAAAACGGCGCCAGAGACGGTTGGGAAATGACAATCGATCACAATGTTTGCGAGGTCAAGTCATAGACATGTACTTGGCCCGTTATAGCCAGTTAATTGCCAGGCCATAAAAAGGTTGTAACTTATTTTTATATTGAGTAAAAATTATTTTTAAACGGTGTGGTTTAAAATTCGTAAAAAAGTCTTTTTGGAACTAGATTTGTGTCTGAAAACGTTCTAGCCTTTTTTAACCTGTGTTAATTTTTGACAAGTTTTATGTTAATTTTTAGTAAATGACGTCTGGAGATTGACCTCGCTAAAATTATCATCGATTGTCGTTTCCCAGCCGTTCTTTGACACCGTTTTTTTTTTCGATATTTTCGATAATACTGCACCCAAGTGTATAGCACCCAAAACGGCATTAGCTATGAATATGAAATGAAGATCGCTGCCATTTTATATGTAAAATTCGAGGGGTGTCTCACTATTAGAATTACATGTACATTTTCTTGTTTTTTTTTGGACATTTTTTAACCAAGTGAGACAGCCCTCGGTAAAATAATGTGGAGAATGTCATCGACGTTCATTTCCAAGCCAACTGACCGCCGTTTTTTTTTCGGTCATACTGTAGTAAATATGAGAACACCTTTTTGTTCTTTAAAATATACAAATAAGTGCAAATTTTTTTAGTGGTCTTATGTTTTGGCTATACCGGGTGCGTTTCAAAAGTGGCTCACCCCTATAACTTTTTTATTTTTTTAGATGAAACAACGAGATTTGGAATGTTAGTATATAACATAAATTATGATTGATTGACATATTCAATTGTCTTCGGTCACTTCCGGTTTCACCGGAAATTACCACAACTTTTGGTTTTTAAACACTTGTTGGCACTCTCGATATTTTTTACTTTATTCCATAGAAAATGACACTGTGAATAGAATGACATATCACATGTCAGCTTTTGACATTTTCGCATATGGTTTATTTGAAATTGTAACATGCGGTTCATAACGACTAACGACAATTTGACTCGAAGTACCAATAAGTGTGTGATATGAAATTATTCGTAAAAAAAGGCTTGTTCCAAATATGCTAATGAGCCACCCTCTTTCCATTTGAAAAAATTGAGATATGATTAAAAATACGATTTGGGCATCTTTTAACCTGACAAACATCAGACGATCAAATCTATTTTTCCAAGGTTATTTGCTTAAAAATTAGTGTTTTAGCACAGCCCCATGGCGCTCTAAATTAAAATTTAAAACACAATCATTTGTTTTTGAGCGAATATAATCGAATACATACCATATATCAAAAGTTGGCATATGATATATCATTCGATTCAGAGTGTCATTTTCTATCGAATAAAGTAAAAAAATACCGTGGGTGCCACTTAAAAATCAAAAGTTGTAGTCATTTCCGGTGAAAAAGGGAGTGACCGAAAACAATTGAATACGTCAATCAATCCTAATCTATGTCATATACTAACGTACCAAATCTCGTTTTTTTATCTGGGGGTGGGCCACTTTTGAGACGCATAGGTATACAGTAAAAACGTCTATGAGGTTTTTTCACAAAAAAGTTATAAAGTTATATCGTTTATAAAGCAGTATTATATTGTTTATAAAGCAGAAATGTCATATTAAAATCTCATATATCTATGTGGCCCATCAGAAAACAATAATGCTAGATTACTAATAAAGGGGTAATTTTTATAACGATATTTTAATTCATTGTCATTAAAACAATGCGAAATTTCATAATGTCGTTCTTTTGTTTAAGAAACGTAGTAAAAAAAAAGAAAGAATCTGGCCAACATTGACCGAGAAAACATGACACCTCCTCAATTAAAAAAAAACGGTAATCAACGAGCATTAAGACATCTAGAGTAGGAATTGCGATAGAGTTAAGTGGTGTTCCTGTTAATAGACCATGTAGTAATCTAATAAATCATTTGGAAACAGACTGAAATTCGCAATATTTAATGGACGGTCATCAAGTTGAATATTGAAAGAGCACAAAATGAGTTCAAACAAAAAATAATATATTGTTTTATTAGGTCATTTTTACTCCGAATAGAAATTAATGCTATTTTTTTTCAAACGCCATAAATAAATTTTAAACAATTTCAAACGTTCTAAATTCATACATTATATGCATTATATATATATATATATATATATATATATATATATATATATATATATATATATATATATATATATATATATATATATATATATCTAGATACTATTTTTCGGTTGAGAGCTATAATTCTCGAAATATAACCTAAACTTATGTTTTTTTTTAAATGGGACATCATGTATATTATTTTTTTTATTAAATTTTCCTTGTCATGAGCTTTCAAAAAATATAATATACCCTAGACTTATTTTCGTAAATAAGGTAAAAATATATTTTTAACTTTTTAGCCTCGTTTTTAGCATAGGCAGCCGGTTTATTATAGATAGTCATGACGATAAAATAATTTATTCAACGTCAAATTTTGGCTATTGTCTTTTCCATCCAGAGATAACTAGTTGTCTCTGATGCTAGTTTCCGTGTTGTTTTTTTGATTCACTGTAGGTACTAAACATGTCCGAACAACAAAATTTTGATTATTTTGAAAAATATGACACGAATAAATGTTTTATATTAGCCAACGAAGATTCTGATGCAGCGGAGAGCTCTATTTGGACAGGTAGGTTACCAGGTACAGGTATCCTTGTAATTAAAACATTCGTAATTTATCGTATTCCAGATATCCCGAGAGAAGACAGATAAGCGCATATTTCGGAAAATATAGAGCAACCTAATTCAATATGGATATTTTAACAAACCCAGATCAAAAAGATATAACAATGGAAATGAAGAATCTGAGATAAATGTTTTGGCATCAGTTGAAGCCACACCAGAGACATCTTGTAGATGCATAGAGGAAGATGTGGGTGTATCTAAAACCATAGTACAAAAAATTTAAAACAATTTAAATTCAAACCTTATAAAAAATATAAACTTGTGCATCATCTTTACCCTGGGGATCCTGCGCGTAGAGTCGAGTTTTGCAACTTGTACATTGACATGTTTGTGTGAAAGAGTGAATAATTTTCACAAGAGGACCACTTGGTCGGACGAAGCGCATTTTACTAGTACGGGTATCCGAAATAGGCAGAATTCAAAATTTTGGAGCTAGAAAAATGAACATGTTATTTTTCCCAGGCAACGCCAAGGGAGTTTCGGTTTCAGCCTGTCCTGTTTCATTTTGGGAAGAAGAATTGAATATTGTATTTATACTAAGGGAATTTAAATTCTCATAAATTCTCAAAGACGTATGCAAATCTTGCAAGAAAAAGCAATGACGATTTTGAAAGATGTTCCCTTGGCCCAAGTAAATGAAATATTCTTCCAACAAGATGGAGCTCCTGCACATAACTCTTGTGTTATAAAGCACTGGATGGACCAACATTTCACTAATATTTGGATAGGCATCCACGGACCTACTCGATGGCCGCCACGGTCTCCAGACCTTTCGGTTTTAAATTACTTTTTATGGGGTTATTTAAAAGAGAAAATATATACAAGGAGGTACAAAAATATTCAAGAGTCACTACTACTACGATTCACCTACAGTGAATCAAAAAACAACACGAAAAGTACCATGAAAATAACAATAGCCACAATTTGACATTATCACATTACCACATTATGACACTATCTATTACAAACCGGCTGCCTGTGTGTTAAAATGAAAAAAAAAATGTATTTTTAAGTTTATTTATGAAAATAAGTAGTACAGTGATGTGAAAACCGCATCTTTGTATCTCTACCTATAAACGAGATAGCGATTTACGTGTGTAAAACACACGATAATAGGACAACCTGTATGTACAGGGTTTGTGTAAAAAACAGTGCATCAAGATTCAGTGGGTAATACAACAGATAAAAATAAAAGAAAAAGTTCCTATAAACCTACAAGCCAAGGTGTTTTATGAGTTACAGTCCTTACAGTCTTTACTTGAAACCTATCTTGAATAATGTTAGAGCTAGAGTGAGTAAAACTGCGGTTTTCCAATCGCAGTTGTGATTTATAAATTGCTGCAAACTGCAATTGTGCAAATAAGGTATAATAATATTGGTTGCCTAAGAATTCAAAGTCGGCAGATACATGCTTCAATGGCAAGTCGCAGTTTACTATGAAAAGAGATGGGTGCTGGACCAAACCATTTATATCTGATTCTTCAAGATGGCTATCTACCAGATCCACTGCAACCTTTGAAGATCTATTGTGGTCCTCTTTACATCCTTCATCCTTACGTTACATTCTCCAGTTCTATCCTTTTCAAAAAATCTACCAACTTAGAGACTGATGAACCTGATGAACCAACTGAATCCTCCATATAGCTCTCATTGCCTAGTACGAAGAATCGCACATTTGCCAGGACACAAAATGTCTTTTGTCGTTTCTTCTTCAGATTGACAGAACCTGCACCTGGCTTCGGCCAATTATTCCATTACCTTTATGTCTTTCAGCTTACAATGCTCTGTTAGTATATAGACCCACTGCAGCTTGCCTGTCTCTGTCCTAGTGAATTTCTCCACCATTTTAGAGATTTACTGGCCAGCCACCGTTTTGTGTCCATTCTTGTGAAAACTTTTTTTATGTATACCTGCTAGATTGATGTAGATGAAGATTGT